GACGTCAAATTACAGCAGTTGAACTACACACACAACGTACGACTCTTATCGAGTTACGTAACGAAATTTATCATAACTGTCGCTTTTAAAATAGTTACTTTTAACACTCTTGTTATGAAAACTAAATATTCATTAAATATTAAATCTCTAAATGAACTAAAAAGAAACTCTTACACTAAACAGTCTTGTATATCCAACACATACCAGGCTCAGTTCTATATCACTTCCAGATTGAGTGAGTGGAATAATGAATAATAACTATTCGTCTTGCTGCCCATTCAAAAGAACCAGCTTTGATAATGTTAAGTAATATTCCACCTAAGAACGGTAATAACTATCAAGCATTAGTAGTTGCCTTATCCAACAGGTTTGGAGTGACACACCAGAAGGAAGTATCCAGAACAAATTACTAAAACAAGGTATAGAGGAAAGAAGATATCTTAGATGAACTTACATAAGGTTTTAAAAGTTCATCCTAATTCGTCTTTTACGGTATCTATAAATTGGTCACATGCCAATGAATCCATCATTTCACGAGAAACATCTAAGTAAGATAATTGGGCAGTTCAAATTAGGTTTTCATCGTTGAAGGAAGTTTTTACAGTTGGCATTAGGGCTAGAATCCTTCAAAATTGCAGATAAACTACTAAAGGCACCATCTAGAAGTTACGGGAATGTCAGATCTTATAGTATTAAAACATCAACTCCCCTTCACAATAATCTGAAAGAATTAATCAAACAGTTAGTTACACCGAATGGAGGATATAAACCACAAGAAAATACGTGAACTGCTATAATTGTAGGAAGCACAGCTATTACATCCAAGACTATGACGAACAGTAGCTGCTATTAAGCCAAGGAAACAACGACTTGAGAATATGTCTTAGAGCCCAGGAACAACAAAGATTTAACTATATATAAAAAAGACAGGAACTAGCGGGATTTATGGAACGAAACTAAGCTGGAAATACTCCATCTACCACAAAAAAGTTCTTTATTTGAGGAAAATCGTTCACGAATTCATGGATTATTGATAGAAATCTTCCCGTATGTTAATCATCACTGGTTCTACAGCTGGTTCAATCTGATTTGTTAATGAAATATTGTAAATTGCTTTCAGAGGTGAAAAACAGCAGTGGGATTGAAGTAAGAAGCAAGTGGATATAATGTTTCAGTAACAGGAAAGTTGGAAATTACCTTTACTGTATGAGGCTTCTCTACACCTCGTGGTACGTGGATAATTGATGTCTTAGAAGAGTACTTACTGGGACCTGACTTCATGAGGAGACGTGTAAATATGATTAGGGTAGCTTCAAAGTCTATAACCAAGAAATTCCTATGTACTACAAGGTAATAATTATACCAGAGGTTGAAGTTCCAGTGACAACAGGAGGGTTAGTCATTCTACCACCAAGAAGTGAAACTCATACTTCATCTATTGACTGTGACGTAGAGTGACCAAACACTCCAGCATATTCTGAGAGATTGGTGGTTGAAGAAGCTCTCATGGATATAAAGAATATATGACTTTATCCAGGAAAGACTTAACCCAGCTTGCTATAAAACAAAACGTAACTACGATGTTAATGCTGATAAGACTGGATTTCATCGAGATGACATGGCATGGCTAAACAATTCCCATTGCAAGGAAGGATGAGCTAAAAAGTTAAGTTTGTGTTCGGAAGAACCACATGTTGTTCTGAAGATAATCAATTATTTTGTTTACATAATCCAGAAAGATAAGCGATCCAATCCAAAGGTCACCTATTGTGACTGTCCTTGGAAGTATGCTAGTGAAAGAACAGTCAATAGAATAATTCCAGTAAAGAATTCGCGAGTTGAAATTCAACCTGCTGAGAAGTCCAGAGATTCCGCTAGGACTATTTCCAGTGGATCATTAAGTGGACACACTCGATCATCTACCTAGAAAAAACTCCTCCAATGACAGGACAGCCAGTGATGAAAAGGGACAAGAGGTTATCACGTCTGTATATCATGGGACTTGAAAGAGAAAACCACCAAAGAGACTTGGTGAATGGACAATTTAGTATAATGTTTGTTTTTTTGCATTAAGATTGGCCAAGCTGTAAACTATATTTTCAATATTTTAATTTAGGTGTTAGATAGAGGGTGTATGTCATTAAAGTAGTCCTGAAACATTCTAGATGACATAAAGAAAATCTAGTAATTTCGACGACTGTCTAGACACAAGGCTACAGATATATCAAGAACGAGTAAGCAGTTAGTTCAGGAAAAGTGGACCAACGAACTTTTGAGGCAGTTGTTTTTATTCGGTAGAGTGTCCATCAGTCATTGTTTTACTTTCAGCTAAAAGTGAAATGCTTAGTTTCAGTAACATATTTGAATCGATATTAGATATTTCGTATGCTCAGTTACTCGATCGATCTGTCATGAAATTGTATGAGTAAGTTTATTGTCACGTTAGTTAGTACCGATAGCGAGATATTTCCGTTTGGATGTCATTTGTTAATTTAAGCCTACAACAGTATAAGCTATACCAGTGTACAAACTTTTAAAAATGTTAAGGAAGAAATAAGCAAATTTGTTGTCGTTACATGGATTCCTCTTCAAAATATTTCCTCCAAATAATTTAAGAGGACCCAGTCAACAGAAAAACAACGTTACAACAGTATCTTCTTACTATAATGGACGTAGCGTGTATGTCAGTATCTATGTGTATAACCAAAACTTCTGCGCCATCTATTGAATAACACCACAAAAAAAAATCCATAAAACTTTCCCATATTCGATATTCAAAATTCAGACAATTAGAAAAATAACTGTGATATGTAAAACAACCATTTCTTTATAATATAACTCAATTTTAAATAAAAGAGCTCTCCTCACAACAAGAGCATAACTTTCACTAGGACTGTACGTGAGGGTTTGATTATATCTTTATTAATGTAATTTTTATGTGTAGTACTGAGAAACTGAAGTTCTTAACAAACAATTATTTTTTTTTCAAAAAATGGTAACACTTTTAATATATATAAAAACACTACTGTTCATACCAGTAAAATTTATGAAAATTTTGAGCTCTTTACATTGAATCATTTTGATAGAACGCGTTGCATATGACTAAAAAAGTACAATCCGAACACTTTTCGCTTGCAATACTTCCCAGAAAAAAAATCATTTTTTCAGAAAATGTTCACTTTTCTAATTTGTTTCAATGAGGTATGAATAATACGATTAAACAAATAGCCTCCCCACGGGCGGCGTTTCTGCTACTAATGAAAATAATGAATAGCCCACCAGTGACTCGACAGTAAGTCTGGGGCTTATAACACTAAAAATTAAGTTTTGGTATCTGTGTAGGCAGAGCATAGATATCCCATTGTGTAGCTTTCTGCTTAACAACAAACAAACACGCAATAATGAATATTTAGCTGAAATCGTGCTTATATCCATCACTTTAACTTTTAAGAGAAGAAACTCCATTAAGCTTGTCGTTTGAATTATTGTTTTCCAAAGACAGAGATGTACTAGTCCCAGAGAGATTTTCTATAGTTTTAGTTTATATATAAAATTCCGCTGCAATTTAAATTTCTAAAACCTATTACATTTATAAAAGTAACACTAAAAATCAGAAGCATAACCACGGTGCAATTCAAGTAAACATGAAAAAGGTAAACCATTACTTGACAAAAGTCTGTCAGTGTATATGTGTATTTGCTCATGCTTAGCGAACCGCTAGACCGATTGTCACCAAACTTGGCATGTGATATCAAGGTCCCACTAGAATCAAATAGGGTTCGACGTTCATATTTGACCCTACTATGTCACCACACATGGGGACCTTGTGTCTTCCACATACTTTGAATTGGTACGTCAGCTATTATTATAATACGAATATAATCTGAGTATTCCTACTTTGTTAGAATATTTTGAAGATGAATTGGCGTTCCAACACAGATACGAATTGAAGTTTAGCGCATGTTTTCGGCGAAATCTTGATTATTCGATGGTGCAATGTCTAAATCATTTCACAAATAAGGATTGTTTGTTTGTTTGCAGTTAAGCAAAAAGCTACACATTGGGCTATCTGTGTTCTGCCCACCACTGGTATCGAAACTCAGTTTCCAGCGTTGTAAGTCCGCAGACACACCGCTGTGCCACTGGGGGGGGGGGCACAAACAAGGACCCATCAGCTACTTTAAGATATAACATTCAGTTGAATTATTAGCAAAATAATTATCATTTTGAGGTTTGTAATATATGTGTTGGATCATAATCACCCCGAATTAGTAAGAAATATTTTCAAACGAATCATCATCGATTTTTTTAAAAAAAAAGCATTGGTTATCAGTTAAGGAAGCAAAATTACGATAAAATTAGAAAATATTGAAATGATAAACAAAAATAAAAATCGTATCAGAGACAGCATCTTATATAATGTCCACCGTTAGTAATAATTTTGTTTACGTCTAATGTACAACTGAATGTCCCCCGGCGGGACAGCAGTAAGTCTTCGAATTTACAATGCTAAGATTAGGGATTCGATTCCCCTCGGTGGACACAGCAGTTAGCCCGATGTGGCTTTGTTATAACAAACACACACACACGTATAATTAAAATTTGCTTACATTATGTTAAACCTACAATTTAGAAGGAAGATAAAAAAATGAGAGCAACATGCTTTTTTGACTACTTATATCTATAGATTTTTAGTAACTGTTTAGACTCAGATTTACGTGTACTTTAAATTATCATTTTCCTCCTATTTTTTATTTTTTTCTGTCCAGTTGTATGTGTAATTATAGTTTATACGTGTATGTATGTATTATTGTTTGTATATTACCAAAATAAAATATGGATATATATTACCCATACCAAGTGGCACAGCAGCAAGTCTACGGACTTTAATGCTAAAAATTGAGTTTCGATATTTGCGGTGGGCACAACACTAATAGCCTATTAATTAATTTTGCTGCTTTGCGCTTAACTGCAAACAAACAAATGGAAACGCGTGACTATAGCGGCCTCTATAGAAAAATGCCGGAATATTTTTTTCATGAAACAAGCAGGTTTAGAAAATGGCCCCTACGTGTAAAACGATATTTTGTTTCGGCATAAATACTACCAAATATTTTTGGAAAGTAGTAGGCTTTTCTAATGCACAAAATGCTCTGTGTGTAAGTAAACTTTTATTACTATATTGAGAAACTTTAAAAATGTTAATAAACCTGTATGTTCTGTTACAATTTCACTGGTCATGTAGTACATTATTATCTATAATAATAATAGTATTACTACTACTAGTAATACTAATATTAATAACGGTGATACTGAATTAACCTAACACTTACAAAAAATAGAATTAAATTATATTTAATTTATAATAACTGTAGCTTACATAATTTGTAATCTCCCACTTATTCATTCTGTAATTTCTATTTTGTAGATTTTAAATTTTAGTTTTCTTGTGTATTGATGTATTATTTACGTTTAGTTTTAGTACTAGTAATACTAATAAAAGTAATGTTATTCCAGTTATAGAAGTTGTTTTACACTTAATGTTTGAATTGACTACATTAACATATTATTTTATAGATTTGATATATCTAATTGACTTTGGAGTCGAAACTATTAATAATTATGCAAGTTGTAACAGCCACATGACTGATTGTTGTTTCAACAGTAATTAGTGAGTAAGTAATAGTAACCAAAACCTGGTTATCAAGATATCCAAAAAAGGGAGATTAGTTAGCATTTTCCCATGGAATCCTCAATGTATAATGAAAAATTACAAGTTTCATAATAACATAAACAGGTTAAAACATGTATTATTTTAATTGTTTTCTTAGAGATTATAGAATATTTTTTTCAGAATCTGCTTGAGCATGAAATGGAAACTTTTTTTTCTAATTTCAAAGATCCAAATTTTCCATTTTATTACAAATTCTATGAAAATAAATGAAGTATAATATAAAACCATTTTATAGTGGCTACAATATGAAAATTGAGTCCCTTGAGAAAAAAAATTAATATGAATATGCAAACACTATTAAAAAGAGCCTAACTTCAGATAGCACAACACATATAAATACAAAAATAAGACATTTATATAATACCATGTTATTTCTGTGAGACGAGTTATGTAAGTGAAACTGGAAGAAATGTTGATAGTATAATTTCAAGACATAAAAAATACATTAAATATAGCAACTCAAACAATGCCATTTTTCTTCATATGAGAGATTTTCACCACCATATCAATTGAAAACCAAAAAACAGATTAAACAAAATAGATAACTACATAAAAAGAAAAATTGTCAAAAGTTTCTTGATCAAAATCTGTCTAATTTCAACTCCTCCCAAGGCTATTTCAAAATATATAGCTTTATGACCAGTTTTCCTGCTATAAGACAATGCAAAGGAGGCAAACATTTATCAAAATTAGCTTCTCAGATTTTAAGATTTCTTATAGTTTGTACATTTACTGTGATTTTTTTCACCAACTTCTTCACTGCTACACACAACATTATATTCTTTTAATACTATTCTATAAATAGTTTAGAAAATGTGTTTAAGAAGTTGATAGGATCCAAGTGAATCTTACTGTTAATTCTAAGGTTAAGAGAAAAGTGATGAAAATGCATCATAACCTAAGATATAAGAACAAAAATAACTGTCAAATTATTTAAGTCATTCAATCTACTTTAAAATTGAAGAAAGTAAAAAATTTCCAAGCTGGCTTTTATCATTCAAATATGTTTCCTTAAACTTCCCTTATACTCCCTTGTACGTGTCATGTGGATTTTTATCACAAATGTTAGCACGTGACCTCTGTCAGTTTGACATTAAGAATATGTCAGAGAAGTTCACAGGAAACAAAATATAATGAAGCTTATTTTAGATATTATACTCTATTTAAATCCTGATAAATATATAGAAATATTATGTAAGCAAATTCTTTGGATGGAAAGTATAGTTTAGTATTTTTTATTAGAACTTGTGTAATTTACATGTTTCATAAAATGATGCAATAAACTAATTTTATTGAAAATTAACTTTACATTTGTTTACATTTATGTTTAGTAAATGTTCATGATGTGATTATGTACCTACCCTCAATTTTATAGATAATTTTATGATATTTACTTTTTTGTGAAAAATATTAATGTTTAAATTAGCATTTTTTAAAGCTTTATTAAAACTGAAAATGTAATAAAGGGCTTTTTGGTGATATTTCTTTCTTTTTTTCTCTCTTTTAGAGGAACTTATTTACGATATCACCAATTTATGAAAGTTATCTAAAACCTTCATTTCTCTCTGGAATCATGAGTATTCGTCAGAAACACTGGGATCCAAAATTTAAAAAAGAAAGAAGTAAAAAGGTTTGTTATTTAAATTTTTTCATATGATTTTTAAAAATTCAAATAATATCAAATAGAAATAAGAAACCTTGTGAAATTACAGTAATTGCTTGTTTATAGTTTTTTCTAGTTACATGTGTATCATACAATGTAGTAATTTTTTGTGTGCATTATATCATTGGTTTACTCTATTGTTTTTATAGTGTAATAAATAATAGATGTAATTTGCAAGACTATTTATTTTTTCATTATATTTACTGTGACCTTATTTTCAGTGGCCTCATATGAGTGTTTTGTTTTAAATTTGTGTGAATTTTAAAAAATAATCATTTCACAACCTTTTATACGTATTGTTTCTATTTCAAACATTAGGAACCACTGATTAAAAAACAAAACTGCCAAAATTTTGTAACCATTCTCAATGTTCTCATTATTGTTAACAATTAGAATTAAAATGCAAGGTAGATGCTATAAATTACATTGTCTTAAAAATGGTTGAATGTTATAGTGAGTGAAAAACACCCTTAAGGAAGTGCTTTGCTTAGATGGCATCAGTTTAAAACTGTACTCTGTTATTTCATAAATTCATATTCTAGAAATATATTAATGTTTAGTTACCCATGGATCTGTACACTTATCACACTTGGAGGTTGAACGTTATATGGGCCATCAAGCCACACCACTCTTGTGGGCTTCATACCACAAGGATTTTCCTTCAATTCAGGCATCAAGTTACAAGGATATTTATTGTAGAATTTGCCAACTCTAAGCTTTTGCACTTATCAAAGAACACACAAATCCTAACTTTTAGAAAAGGCACTGCAAAAATTGATTATTTACTTTTGAACATTTATTTCTCAATTAAGTGAATAAGTTGTATTAATTATTGCATATACTATAATTGCTTTACTTGCTTTTTCTGTCAAATTAGACTTAGTGTAAAGATTTAAGTTGGATCCTTTTCTATTTTTCATAGCTTTAGAGTAAACTAAATAAGAGATACATTTTTGTTCATGATTTCCTGTGTGGACTTACTCTAAATCTTTCAGTTCAGAGTACATTGGTGACTAAAATGTAGTTTCAGGTTTTTACCAGTAGACAAGGGATTATTAAAATATTATATGAAGTTTGATGCAAGTCAATAAATTTTTGTTTTCTTTATTCAGCTTCTAAGTATATTTAAAAATCTTTTTTACTGATTTGTCTCATGCTGTTAAATGTTTGCAGATGATCAAAGTAAAACTTCCTGACTATGAAGAAATGTACCAAAATAAGGATTTGACTCCTGATGAAATAAGAGCAAAGATGAAAGAAAAAGGTGTGGCGCCTCCTAGACCATGGATGGAGAAACCTATTTATATCAGTTGTACAGGTAAAAAGAATAAAAATGAATAAGTATGTTTAAAAGCTTTAAAAGTGTTTGTTTTAAATTACTTGTTTCAGATGCTATGTGTAGATGTATATGCATTTTTTCTCACATTAAAGATTTTTCCAATATTAGGGCTTTTTCATTGAATGTACATTTGAAGTTGTGATGTAGTTGCTTTTCTTGAACTTTTTTTTTCTTCTGGTGGAAAGTCATAGTTGTCTTCATGTGAATTAATTTGATGTTTTAAGATGTCATTAGAAAATTATAGAAATTTAACGATCATCTGGCATGTTTTGAAAGCTTTTGTTGTCATAGCAACCTTTTTTTTTATTTTTCCATGACTATGCTGCATAGTTACAACTAGTGGATATAATTATTATGATAGCAGTTAGTTACAAAAAACAGTGTATTAAATCTTTAAAATGACCATGAAAAGCTATTTATATTTCACTAATATTGAATTTAGACAAACTTTATTTATTTTTCAAAACTAGGCTTAAAATGTTTTAAAACTTTCAGCAATCAAAGGTAATGTTGTTTCATATGTCATCTTAATTACAATTTGTAATTCTTCTAAAAACACTCATAAAGAATTAATGAAGCTTCCCAATCATCTTGTATCTAGGCCAAAATTTTTTATACAATTACTTCACACTCATA